CTCTCACCTAGGGTGTGCTCCTAAAATTTAGAAGTTTATACTTAGAATTAGGTGGATGGACTCTCACCTAAGGCGTGCTCCTAAAACCTAGAAGTCTATGCTGAGAATTACGCGAATGAACTCTCACCTAGGATGTGCTAGAAGTCTATACTTAAACTTGTGTTTAAAGTGATTTAAGGCATTCTACCCCCAATTAAGTGTTTTTTTTTAACTAATCCTCAAGTATTTCTAAGTGTCTTCCAAGCAATTAAATCAGAAATTCCCATTTTGTTTTGACTTAACCATTTAAAAATAAATAAAACAAAAGAAGAAGGCCGACCCACTTCCAAAACTAGCAAAGCCGAAAAGGGGGAAAAACAATAAGTGAATCGGCCTAAAAACGTTGAAATGATAAACAAATGAAGCCCAAAACAGTAAATAAAGTTCTCCAAATCCGACCCCAAAACAATAAATAGAGTTATCAAACTCAGCCCCAAAATCGTAGGCAAAACTCTCAAAATCAGCTCCAAAACAGTGCCAAAATGGTGCCCAAACGGTGTTAAAACTATGCCAAAATTGGCTCACACTATGCCAAAATTGGCCCACACGATGCCCCAAACAACACAACCATGTTCCAAATAATTCCAAATAGCTCTCACAACACCCCCCAAAAGCTTCTCACAGCACTTACAACAGTTTTATTATCACCAAACAACACTTATATAGGCTCAAACGACAACTACAACGCCCAAGCAACGACCAGCAACGACCTATAATAGTTTCTAAGCTCTGACAGCATTTATAGCAGCTAACAACTCCCCCAAACAGCCATCAATAAAAATGGACAGCACCCAAACCACTACGTACAGCAGCTAACGACTATCTTCAGCAGCTAAACAACTACCTACAACAGTCCAAATCTCAATTTCAGGACCCAAACATTAATTTCATGCTCTCTACAGCACTCCAAACATTAATTTCAGCACTTGTAAGCCACTTACAGCAGTCTAAATCTCAATTTCAGCACCCAAACATTAGTTTCATGCTCTCTACAGCACTCCAAACATTAATTTCAACACTTGTAAGTCACTTACAGCAGTCCAAATCCCAATTTCAGCACCCAAATACTAATTCCAAGCCACATATAGCTCTCAATAACTCCTAACAACATTTAATTACCACTAAACAACACTTTTAAAGGAAAGGAAATAATCACATGCATACCACTTAATTCAATCGTATCTACACATTCAACCCCTAAACTTTTACCCTTTTTTTTATATTTGTTGTTTAAACTAAGAGGTTAAATTCTTGAGCTGACTCACTAATTCTATTGTCGATGAAGCACATGGAGTATTTATGTAAACAGGTGATGAAGTTTAGTTGTTCAATATGTAAATACATAGGAATGATATGGTATGAATCTCAGCCCTGTGTTTAGAATCGCCCTCATCATAATCTTCAGCGCCCCGAAGCACAATCACTCGTCTCCCTATTTAATACTCTGCAATGTCCATATCAGTCCCTTATAAACTCCCCCCGCTCTTCTCCATCTTCACGATTTGGAAGGTTGTTGTAGCAAAAGACATTGGCCCGGGGGGTGCAGCCCTCCAAGGAGGTCCCACCCACTATGGTCCCCTTTTCGGGGCTAAATTTTTTCAAAGCGATCTTATTCAGCTCTAAATCGCAGGTCATCCCATTCTGCTTGTTGTCAATCTTTCCAAACCTCATGTTGTCCTGCAATTCCCTCTGAAGGCCACCACTCGATTCGACTCCTTCGTTCGAGTCGTCCAACTGTCACGCTATTTCTTCCAAGTAATGTTGCTTGTGTCTGCTCCTAATTCCTTCGCTCCACACTGCAGCTCATGATCTGCCTAAAGCAAGGACATTATTCTGCTAAAGTGTGAATCCTTCTAGTTGATGTTGCTCATGCCCGTTCCTGACACTGTCGCTCGATCCCACAGTGGACGAAAGCAATTTTGTGTGAAACTCCATGCTCTTTTCAACATTCCTTCCAAGGTCGTGAATCTCGGCTTTAACCACCGACCATAGACAAACACTCCCACATAGATGAGAGATATTCATCTACTTCAGATCTGATATGACTTAATTCTTTCTATAATTTCTTCTCCAGAAAACCTACTTTCTTGGCTGTTATTATTCAAGGATGTCTTTCGATTACAAAGGTGGAATTAATGTAAGCTGAAAAGTAGCCAGACTGAAGCCAAATCACAATTGTCACGATATGCGATCACTGAAAGGTGTCTCCAAAAGTGATCCCTTTGGCGGCTTCCCAATCAGCCCTTACCTACATCAAGTAAGCATGCGAAGGAGAGGTTTTACGTCGAGATCAATCTGTCTATGTACGTCACGATCATGCATTGGTTTTCTGATCCCTTTGGCGGCTTCCCAATCAGCCCTTACCTTCATCAAGTAAGCATGCGAAGGAGAGGTTGTACGTCGAGATTAGCTAGCTCAAGTCGCAATTGTATTGTTAGGGCACAACTTGGCTTCCCAAGTAACTCAATCGCAACTGTATCAAGGGATTCGGTCACGAAGGGCTGTCAGTTGCGATCCGCTCGAGTGTATCATGAGATTCAATCACGAAGGAGTTTGGGATGCCATGATGAAATCTTCCTCTTCCTAAAGCTAATTGCAACTGTATCGCACGTCTTAGTCATGAAATAGTCACGGTCCCTTCATTTGTCCTCCCAGATTGCTCAGATTATGATTGTTTCGCGGGATTAAGTCACGAACAAATGCAGCTACAATCTCTTAAATGATCTACCAAAAATCGATCGCTCTGATATCATTTGATACTATTTTTCACAGAAATTAGGGTAAATAATATTTTATTTTAAAAACATCAAACACTCGAAACGAATACCAAAATATAAGCACCTACAATTTGAGAGAGGCGATTTCTAACAATTCCTACAATTTGAGAGGTAGGATGTCTCTCCAAATCCTAAATTTAAAATTCATAACAATAATCTCATGCATAACACTAACCCTAAACATATTAGTTCTATTTATACTAACATTAAAAATAATACTAAAAGACTAAACCGTCCCTAGACTAATAAAGACAAAAACTGCTTTTAGGCACCTCTTTCAATCATTTTAATTTTTCAATGCACAAACCTTGAATAAGAGCTCCTAGGAATGCCATCAAACCATTCAAAGGGCTTTCCATTACATTCACCCCACAAGAGACCTCCTTCACCGAATTCTCCCCATCGAAAGGTACCTAGATGACAAAAGAACCAAAATCAGATCACAGGGTGCATTTTCAACTAAATAGGTTATCATTTGCATTAGCTACATCAAAGAATGCTTTCATAATTAAAAAACAGAAACATGGACAGATTATTTTTTATTACTGTTTCAGACTAATGTAAAGGCTGCAAGAAGGAGAGCTTCATTAAATTGAATGATGAATTAATTTCTTGCATGGAAAAACAGCGGTTACATCTCCTTGGGTACTTCCAAATATGAATTCCTTTTCCATTCTATTTTTTCAAAAGATTTTGGATACAATTTAGACCTCATGAATGTGTTTAAAATCATTATTTGAAGGAAAGCTACCTTTTCTAGTTTGAGTACTGACATTATTTGCCTCATCACCAAAAAGGAAGTTTTTTAAATTCCCGAAAATTTTAAGTCAATCAATCTTCTCAATGGGGTTTTAAAAATATTAAATAAGTCTTGACTAACAAGCTAAAGTATTTTCTTCCATGCTCGTGGTTGCCCATGTAATTATCCATTATGCTCTCGAACTGAAGATTGATGCTTTTATTTTCAGTGATAAATTTAAAAAGCCTATTGTAATTAAGACTTCATTCTTAATATTCTGCAAAAGAAAAACTTTATTCCTAAATGCATTTCTTAATTTAATGAAAACATAGGGTATTCTTCTTCTTCAAGCCCACATTGGAGAGCTCAATAAGCACTTCAAATAATATAGAAGTCTTCTACAAAGTGAATCTCATTCCCGTTTTTTTAATTATTGTTGAGAACGCCTTGCATAAAATACTAAAGGCAGCTGCCAAAGCTGTTGGGATAGAGGGCTTTATGCCTGATTGGAAGACTATTGTTATTAAAACGGAGACTTAAGACCATAAGTTTTTGGGTTTTAACAATATATTGCCAGTTTTTCAAGAGGTTTCTGGTCTAAAGGTTACTATTCAAAGTCTACCATAACTTATCTTGGTGGTTGCAAAGATAAAGGGCTTTTGATTATTAAAACTTAGAACTGCTCTCTAGATCCTCTTCATTTTAAATATTTGGGCTGCTAACATAGCTCCAAAGCTCTAAAAATAAAATTACTAAAATCCGATCATTGAAAAAATTCAACAAAGTTAAATCCTATAGAAGCAAATTTTCTTTAAAAAGCAATCGCATTATAATACATCGCATGCTTTTTAATCCCCTTATATCCTGAATATCTCTCTATTCTCTAAATGAATCTACAAATCCATGCAGTGGTTTTCATCAATGATTGTTTTCATCCTGATAGCACAATCTTCCATTGCAAGCTCTATGCAAATAAAATGCAAGCCAGTACTCTAAGGAATTTATGAATCTGCGGTCCATGTATTTTCAAACTCAAGAGATTTTCAATGAAAGCTAAACAATTAAAATAAAGGAAATTATGCAAAGTTATCATATCAACGCATGATATTACAGCTTCGCTAAATTATCAAATTTCTTAAACAATTCAAGTAATATTTCAATAACTGAATCTTGAAATCAATAGCACAATTAAGAAAAGTAATTGCATTAGTACAAGTTCCAAACCATTAAAAAAATATATGAAAATATGAAGGAAGATTTACACACAACTCAGTACCTATATTTACATATATAACACCTAAACATCAATTTTTACCTGCCACCTTACATATTCATGAAAATGTGTAGTTCACTTCTTAAAAGTGAACATGTTGGTTTATTTTAAGTGGTATGAAAAATTTCAGTAATATAAATGTAAAAAGTCAATTTCAGGTGTTAAATATGTAAATTCATAGGAATTGTGTGGTGACGCTTGTGCTCCCTGTATGTATGTATGTATGTATATATATATATATACATATATATTCAAAAGGGATGATCAGAGGCTATTATACGAGCCCAGGTCATCCCTCATGCGCCAAAGAATTCGAGTACCACACCCTACGTTCGGTGGAAATCGAACCCCAGACCAGATGTTACTTAAAACTGACAAGCAGATGCCCAACCAACTAATTTGAGAATACAGCGTACCCTTAGTATGTATATAAATATATATATATATATATATATAACTCAGAACAGTTGGGCGGACATCTGTGAT